ACATCTCGTTTCGATTTTCGCATGCATGTAGCCTTTGTGCGTTCATTAGGCAAACGTAGACGTATGCCACCTTTATTGCGCCGACGTGCTATTGATGCGTTACTACAAGCTATGTGTTTTCATTATGATCCATTAGCTAATCGTGTTCAGTCTTCTATTACTAATCTAGCTCTTGAATGTGGATTGGCTACTGCATCAAAGAATGGCAATCTTTCTACGACTCGAGCTACCCGAGCGCTACTTTTTCTAATGGAACTAGGACTCATTACTTACCATACGGAATACGATCCTAACATTGGTTGCAATATTCCTACAGATATTACTTTTACACCTGCCTTATTTAGTGCACTTGACATATCTGAAGTAGCCGTAGCAGCTGCTCGTCATAGTCGAGCAGAATGGGAAAATTGTCAACGAAAAAAACAAAACCTACCTTTACTTAATAAAGATGATCTAATAGCTAAAGCTTGGCGATTTGTTCGAGAACGTTTTCGTGTTTATCAAATTGAACGCAGAGCTAGTGGATTTAAACGGGCTCGTGCACGACGTGATGCTAAACGTACACGTCGTGACATTGAAACTATTGTTAAATTGCAATTAACACGTGAAATAGCTCAAGGACGTTTTGAGGCTAATCAAGTTGCTGTTTTTAATGAAGTAAAACGACGTGTACGAGAACGAATGTTAATGTCTAGAGCATATAATTATACTCAGCTAAGGATTTTGACTACATAAAATTTTTAGTATTTAATAATAAGCTGAATAAAATCAGAGGGATTTGTACGTCCATTATCTGCTATAAATGATATTTTAAACAAAAAATACATTTTAAATAATATATATTTATTTTTTATTCTTAATAATTGGCAAATTTTTTCTTTTAATTGTTATTTTAAAATTTAATTTATGGTTATGCACAGATAACTGCAAGGGAGATCTCTTTTTAAGATTACAATCGAGACATTTATAAAGTGCGTTTTGTAACCATTTTTAAGTGCAACATTTCTTATAAAAAAAATATAATATTTCTTATAAAAAAAATATAATATTTCTTATAAAAAAAGATAACATTTTAATGAAAGTATTATTCATATCATTCTAAAACTAACAATTTTATACCCTTTTCACAAAAAAAATTTTAAAATATAAAACATTATATTTCTAATAAATTATCTTTCTTCAGTTTAAAGCATTAACTATTTCTTCTAAAAGAGTTTGCGATGCAGCCGTAACAAAACTTTTTCCCCATAATAATTTTTCACAAGAACCTTGCAAATTAGAATAAATTACACCAGATTCCTTCATACAAGGTAATAATGCTGCAATATCCCAAGCTTTCATAAGTGTATCAATAGCAGCATCAATTCGTCCTGTAGAAACCATAATATGCTGATAACAATCATTTATAAAAATAATATCTCTAGCAAAATCTATTAAATTAAATAATTTATAAGCTTTCTTACCTTCTCGTGAATTAAATGTAGTACTATGAATACCCGATATAGAAATTACAGAACTACGTAATCTTTTTTTATCATTTGTTTTAAATATTATTTTAATAGCAGGAGAATTGCCAGATTGCATCCAACATCCATATCCTTGATTAGCATAAATAATTTTATTTAAAATAGGAAAATAAATCACACCAATTACAGGTTCATGGTTTTCAATATAAGCTAACAACGTACTAAAAAGTGGAACACCATACAAAAAAGCTTTTGTGCCGTCTATAGGATCAATAATCCATCCAGTATGAAATTCATGATTTATAGTTGAACCAAACTCTTCTCCTAAGATAGGCACATTTGGTGTTTTAATTGAAAGAAATTTCTTTATACAACTTTCAATATAAAGGTCTGCATGAGTAACAAAAGACTGATCAAATTTTAATTTAAATTTTTTTATATTATCAAACGCATTAATAGAGTATAAACGTGTATTTTTTACAGCTTGTATTGCTATACTTAACATAATAACCTCATCTATTTAAACTGTAATAAAATAAATATTTCGGTTATATGTCTATTACATAATATTAAATACTTTTAACATAAATATATCTAAATTATCTTTGATGTTATTAAGATCAGAAAATATGTATTGAGAATGTTCTGTGCTTAATTTTATGTTTCCATAACAAAAAACACGAAAAGTTATTTGAAGACACTCTTTGTTGTTTACAATATATGCAACGGCACTTTCATATCCAACGATTTTAATAATATTCAAATTAGTTTCTTCTTTTATTTCGCGCTTTAATGCTTTAAACATAGATTCACCTTGCTTTATACCACCAGAAGGTATTTCCCATTTATCTGGCATAAAATCATGTTTAGAACGCTTAATAAAAAGCACATCCATTTCATTCTTTAATGAAATAATACCTCCAACAACTATCCGATCATAATTATTGATTTTTTTTAATACTTCATAAGGGATAAATTTTTCTATCATTTTTTATATAATTTCGCTACATAATGAATTATAGATAGATAATTATCTATAAAATCAAATCGTTCTTTTCCATACCAAACATCTAGTTTAAACATACTGTTATGAAATTTAATAGCATTTGTAAAATTTTGTTTATTAACATAGAGCTTTTGTGGATAACTCTGAGAAATTTTGTCCGGTGAATGAAATAGAGGATATTTGTGAAGAGGACATGTTGAAGCAGGGATATCTGCCTCATATGCACCTAATTCATTTAATTTTTTTAACAAAATCATACATATTAACTGTAAATTTATTTTTATCAAATAATATTGGTAATGCATACCAAGCTGGGTTAGCTTGACTAGGTATGCGTACAATTTTTAAACCATCAATAGTTTCTATTTCCTTTTTTAATATAAGAGCTGTTTCGCGTTTTTCTTGCATTATTTGATCAAAATCAAACATTTGAGGTAAAACTATAGCAGCTGCTAAAGGATGCATACGTAAATTTAATCCAGTTCCAGTGATTACAAAATTCCTTAAATCCTCATCAGTAACTTCTTTTTGAGCTCTTTTATTAAAATGCCCAACTAATACAGCCCTTTCATATATACGACTATGTTTTGTTGCAAAGAAACCTCCTTCTCCAGAAGTCAAGATTTTTTTACCTTGAAAACTCCAAGCTGAACCATCCGAAAAACTCCCAATAATTTGTTCATTCCATGTAGCACCGTGTGCATGTGAACTATCTTCAAGCAAAAGTAAGTTATAACGATTACAAATATCTACTAATTCGTCCATATCACACGGAATACCCCACATATGAGTAATTACTATAGCTTTAGTTTTCGAAGTAATTAGCACTTCTACTGCTTTAGGATCAACATTACCGTTATCAAGGCAATCAGCAAACCTAAGCTGTGCACCCAATTGATGAAGCGGCGAACAAGTAGCAAAAAAAGTGTAACTAGGAACAATTACTTCATCTCCTTGCGTAATTCCTGCTCCATAAAACATTGAAAATAATGCTGTTGTTCCTGAATTAACAGCTATTGCATTTTTCACATTAAATTTTTTTTTAAATTCTCCTTCTAGTCGTTCATAAATCCCTCCATTATCATAAATAGAAATAGCTTCCAAAAGTTGATTTTGAACACTTTTTTTTATATTTTCAGTAATTTTAGGGTGAGAAAATCTTGAAAATTTTGAACACATTAACACTTTCCTTTAAGTTATTTTTTACAAAAATTACTTTTTTTAGAAGCTTCTTCTAGAACACGCATCAAAGAAATCGAACGACTTAAATTTCTTTCAAAAGCAGCTTCACCACCATTACAAAGAAATTCCTGATACATTTTTACAAATGGCGATGTATTTTCCACTTTAATATATTTCAAAATTTCTTGCTTTTTATTTTTTAAGGTAATGTGATTTTTATTAGCATGAAAAATGGTATTTTGACCATACATAGTAACATCTTCATATTTTTCGATTGCTACACAAGATATATAAGCTAGAATAATTGCGCCATCACATTCAAATTCAACAAATGCAATATCATCCACATTATAATAATGACAAGAAGAGTTTATTAATCTAGCATAATTCACCTTAATTTCTTTACCATCAAATAAATAATTAATAATATCTACAATATGATAACCCATATCAAACCATACTCCACCACCTGAAGTAGCATATTGTCTTCTCCAATCTTTATTAGGATTATTACTAGGTATGGTGTATCTTATTTTCAAATAAGATATTTTCTCATTTATTCTTTGTACCTCATGTTTTAAGATTTCGTAAGCTAATGTGTATCTTTTTTGACAAACAGTGAATATTTTAAAACTTCTACTACGTGAAAAATCACTGAATATCTTTGATTCAAGTAATGTTAATGCAAAAGGTTTTTCTTTGATTATTCTCATTGGAAACTGACTACAAAAACTTAATACTTCACAGTAAATGTTATGAGGTAAAGCAATTAAAACTATATTTGGTTTGATTATATAGACAAGTTCTTTATAATATAAAAAACTAGGTACATCATAATGAAGTAAATTTTTTGCTTTATTAATATTTTCAATTGATAAATCACATAAAGCACAAACTTTTATTCCTAAAGAAATAATAGCTGGTATATGTTCTTTAATTATAATATTGCCACATCCGATGATTGAAATTTTCATATTGAACTCCTTGCTCAAAACAATATTATTGATCAATAGTTTTGTCTAAAAAGATAAAATAATTTTTTAGAATTAATTTAAATAAAAATTTAAGCAAAAATAAGAAAATTCAAAATGCTTAGCTTTAATTTATGAATTTAACTTCATATAAAATATTTATATAAATTTAAAAAGAAATTTTTAAAACAACATTGATGAAATAGAGATTAGAATAACAAAAAAGAAAATATAATATTTATTATACATATAATATTCGATATAATTCCAAATATCATATAATAAAAATTAATATTAAAATTCATAATGTTAATATATATAAAATAGTATATTAATATAGAATTATATTCTATCCATGATATGAAGATTAATTAAATATAAAAAAATTCTTTATGTAAAATTCGTACAATGACTAAAATTATTAATGCTACTTTTTTATAAATTATATTATTAAATAAAAAATTAAATTTTTTATTTAATAATATTCTTGAATATAGATATTAATGAACTATATATAACGTATTATACAAATATTACGTATATTGAAATAATTATAATCACAATTAAATAATAAAAAATATTTTTAAATAAACGTTAAAAATATTATATTTATCTTGATAAGACTCTAAATATAAAAATATTAAAAGAATTATAATTTTCAAACAAAACTTTTATAAGTTATGAACGATTACTAAAATTATCGCAAAATTTTTTTATTAATTTTAAATAAAAAACATATTCAATTTCTAAAAAATTTTTAAAAAATAGCGATAAATTATTCAAAAAAATGATATTATTATGCATAATTTTTGATATTTAAATTTATACTGATACAATAATAATATGTAGCATCTATGCTATTTGTAGTACGATGTCAATCGAACTAATATTTTTTAAATACTATTTAACTCAATATATTACCACTCTAACCTAAACAATATAAGCTAATGTAGCTTATAATTTCTTTATTAATTTAAAGCGCTAATATAAAAAATATTAGTATCTCTTGATAAGAGATACTAATATAATTGTTAAGTACAGCATTCTTATAGGTCGAAAAGAAATTATTTACTTACATAAAATTGGTTAGATGTCTTTAACATTAAAAAT